GGGAAAAAAAAAAAAAAAAAAAACCATGATCGGAAATATCATATTTCAAAAATATCTTTTTTCGATTTAATTAATTAAACTTTCTCGTTTTTCTTACTTTTTTTTTCGTTTTTTAATTCTCTTCTTTTCTTTTTTACCTTCGAAATGAATCGTCCATTATCGATACGAGTTTGTCAACTAATTTTAAATTCCGTTCGTGTTCGAGAGACGAGAATCGTTTGTTTGTCGTAGCGAATGTATTATTTAAGATATATTATTTAAGATGGCGCAGTTATTTCTTTGTTTTATATTGCCTTAAAATGTAACATAGAACGCGATTAACGAAATAAAATATATTTTTAAACCGAAAAATTGCTTTGCATCTTTAAAAAAAAACCTTGTCCGTTTCCACGTCCTCTTCGCGTTCATTTGATGACGCGTGATAAGCCCGAAAAAAAGTCAGATGGTAATAATATCGGAAACGTGAAATTTCGTGGACCTCGATTTTCGTGGATCGTCGTTCTCAGGTAAGTTCCAACTTCAAAAATTCCGGAAATTCCAGGAATTTGACGTCATTTCCAAGAATTTTATCGAAACAAACAACAAAAAATGTAAATAAACAAACCAATGTTTGCAAACAAACGAAAATTCAGAAACCGGGGCCGAAAATTTTCGAAAATTTTTGTAAATAAACATTGAAAAATGTAAATAAACAAACCAATGTTTGCAAACAAACGAAAATTCAGAAACCGGGGCCGAAAATTTTCGAAAATTTTTGTAAATAAACATTGAAAAATGTAAATAAACAAACCTTTGTTTGTAAACAAAGCGGAATTTTAGAATCGGACTCCGAAAGTGTAAAATTTTTCGAAAATTCCAAGAATTTGACGTCACTTCTCAGAATTTCGGAAATTCCTGGAATTTCATTTCCAAGAATTTTCTCAAAACAAACAACAAAAAATGTAAATAAACAAAGGAAAATGTAAATAAACCAATGTTTGCAAACAAACGAAAATTCAGAAACCGGGGACCAAAATTTTAGAAAATTTTTGTAAATAAACATTGAAAAATGTAAAC